TATTGTCTTGGCACACTTTGGGACCCAAAGTTCCAACTGAGCATCTTGTTGTATTGTTGCTGATTACATCCATCCCTTTATGATGACAGTGTATACACGGACAGCTGTTTCCACCATGTCCCAAAGCTCAAATCACTTCAAACTGGTTTCTTGAACACAACAATGAAATCACTGCAATCAAATGGCCTGCACAGTCACCAGATCTCAATCCAGTAGAGCACCTTTGAGATGTGTTGGGACAGGAGATTCACATCACGGATGTGCAGCAACTCTGCGATGCTGTCGTGCCACTCTCAGAGGAATGTTTCAGGGATCTTGATGAATCTGTGTCACAAATTAAGACATTTAAGAAAACACAAAAGTGTCCAATCTGGTGCTTGAAAGCTGTAACTAATAAAGTGTCTAGTGAGTGTACAACGGACATTTTAAAAGTACTAATAATATTTGGACACCCATTTCTCAAAATGTACTTTAGGTTGCAACTCTTTAAATGAATCCCACAAACTCATTTTAAATAGTAAACATCTGAAAAACAACCTTATTTAACTCTTAACACTAATTCACTACCAACCCCAAATTATGTAATTTTTTATCACCTCCCATCTCTTGCATAAATAAAACATCAGCATTCATCAAAACATATGAAATATCTGTAAAAACCAGCAGATTGAAAGAAATGTAGCTTTCACCACAAACTGCTGTGATGAAGGCTATCGTGTTTCCACAACCACCGTCTAATGCATTAGAAACCGAACATTAGAGGGGCTTGTCAGGGAAAGTGTGGCAGGAGAAAGTGTTTAATTGTGCTCTGGCCATATGAGCTGTGTCTTCACTGCCAGTATACCTCCTGCCAAGGTCATTAGCTGCTAATTCTGCAGGGTCTAGATTGCCTTCGATAAGAACAAAAAAAATAAAATTTATGGCATTGATTGTACCCGTGAGCACGCCGGGGTCAGAGCGGCTGATTGCTAAACAGGTCTCTGTCTCTCCAAACTTATTTCACACATTCACCGCAGCTTGTACGCCTCTTTTACATGAATAGAGTTAATGTAAGGCAATACTCCTCCGTCCATTCAGGTCATCTTTGGTGCTCTCTCTGCTCTGCTGCACCGGTGTGAGTAAGTTAACTCTTTGTGATCCCTTTCTCCATAGTGTATGTGGATGGCGGATAAGGGCATGGACAGAAGATGGAGGCTGTTAAAAGAACCAGCAGGTGAGCAGCGTCTGGGTCCTCTGTGACCAGCTGGGCGCTGTAAAATGACCGCCGCTGTTGTGTGTGGTCTGAATAGAGCTGAGAGACGATGTTGTTGAGGTCAGGCAAGGAGAACCCCAGAGGAACCCCTCTCTCTTGCAGGAATCAACTGCATATCTTACACTCCATCTACTTGCCTTTTATAGAAGGGCCGGTTGGGCCATTACCTGAGCTGCTGGGAATGATGGAGATGAAGAGCATGTAAATGTAGGTCAAGACATGGAAAAAGGTTTACGTAATAAGATTAAATGGTTTAAATACACCCAATCGTCTAATTTTTAATAGCGTGCTCTTCATCCCTCAATCCTGCCATCAGTGCTCTCCATTTCCCAAATTTCATTTCCCGTCTTTCCTGCTCACTCACAGCCGGTCATGGATCTCTCTGAGGACGTGAGGTCTTCAGCAACTGAGGCATGTCCGCTTCTCAAACATTCATTGTCAATGGCAAGTCGAGAGTTTCGACTGCACAGCTACCAGAAAATCACTTTTCTACAAAAACCTGATGCTCTCTTGTTACACCACAAGAATGAATCATTGTCCAGCTGCACAGTTTGAATCATAGTTAACAAATGTCTCCGTCAGCTGACCTGAGGGTTCATGTGCTAAAAAAGTCAGTCCCAGTGATCGGGCAAGCATGGCAAGTGCATCGATTTAAGGAGATAAGCTGGTTCTTTTGACAAACAGCTCAGGTTTAGCTGCTGCTGAGTGATTATGAGTGCTCGTTAAAAGCTAAAGCTTTCCCCTGGATGTTCACCAAGTACGGTTAGATTGTAAATACTGAGCTCTCTGTGCTACGTGCCAGTTTTCAGATCTAGTGTTAAGCCAGTTTAATTAATTGTCGCTGATTTTTTGCCACAGGTCAAAGTACAAGATCATGCAAGAAAATATACTTGCAGTTTTGTGCACACAGAGTGTCACACATGCATACATGCAGTGCAGTCTCCAAAAGTGGCCGCTCTAAAAGCCAGTGTCAGAGATTCCTCCTTGTTTGGCTTTGTCCCATTAAGAGCCTGGGTAGTAGGTGGGCTGCTTGGAGGAATGCCTCCCATATCAGGTGAACTACTGCCCCACGGCCTTTGCTCCTTGCTAGCTAGCAGCGAGAGAGTGCTCCCGGCGGATGATGTATCCCGTGTCACAAAAGCACCTTTCTACACAACAGGGGTACAGAGAATAGGCCACAGCACAGTGGTTCTCCTTGGGTTGGCTCCAGCCCACCATAGTGAGATTTCAGACCTCCCCCTATGCTTCCAGCAAAACCCCCTCATTGGAGGAGATGGCCCTTTACTCACGCCTGGCAGAGATATCAGAGGGACCTGAAGCTCCTGGTGCAGCCTCCAAGACACTGCTAGAGAGGATAAATGACCATAACACTTATGCATAACTGGGTAAGTGCTTATAACTTGGTTGAACAAATATACTCAGAAGCTTTTAAGTCACCTAGTTTAAACTAGTGAGAGTCCAAGTTTATTTGATATTTTTGCTTGTGTGTAGATTACTGAAATTGATAGTGTGATTCCAGCTTTGTTCAAACAAATCTGAAATAACTGACTAACTAACAGAAACCAGTGTTGACTGAATATCAGACTGCAGCAATAAATAAATAAATAAAAAGTAGAGCTAACCTGTGACTGGCATTTTAGGAAAAGTTAAAATACAGAAAAGGAAAGAGGAAAACATAAACGTGGAATAGATGCATGGAAACAATAGAAATTTCAGAGGTACAGTCTGTTCTACGTTTGTGAGTGAAGTGCTAGCATGTGCTTTTTTTAAAAACTTCTTATTTGTTTAAAGTTAAATTATATGAAAGATTAAACAAAGTCTGACAAATATCAGAATAACGTCTCGATGCACTCTCAGATCCCCGACAACCATGAGGATTATTTCCTGCCAGTCGACTCTTGTGGCTGTAGTTGCGGTTGCTCTCATTGTGGTGTACTACACTGAAGCTAAGACTACTCCGAAGCCAAAGTACCAGTACACCAAGAAACCCGTCCCTCAGATCACGGTCCACAGCCCTGTAACCACCAGCGTGCCCAAGACTCTTAAAATAGTCCCAACTGCAAATCCTGTGAAGCCCCATCCCCCGCCCAACCCAGTGAGGACCACCAACCCAAGTCATGTCTTTCCACAGCACTACCCTGACAGCACCGGGCCACCTGGTGTTGGTCCTGAGAACTACACTCTGGATTACAACGAGTGTTACTTTAACTTTTGTGAATGCTGCCCACCGGAGAGAGGGCCCAGGGGCCTGAAAGGAGAAAGAGGCCTGACAGGTATAGACTCACTGATATGTTTTAATGTTATTAATTATTGTTTGGTTTGTTTGTATGTTTGGCTTCAGATTTTCCACTCACACTTATTTTACTCAGGGGCAACTGGAGAAAAAGGCCTTACAGGAGCAGCTGGTTTACCTGGGCCACCTGGCATCAGTGGTCCTATTGGCTTAAAGGGAGAAAAAGGTACACACTTAAAAATTACTTATTAAAATGATATATTGTATTATGTTATTTACTCACTGGCCACTTTATTATTTAGGTATGTAGACATAGTCAAGACACCTGCTGAAGTTCAAACTGAGCATCAGAATGGGGACAAAAGGATTAAGTGACTAAGCATGGTGTACTTATTAGTGCCACATGTGTGAGAGTAACCCAAATAACCACTTGTAACAACCAAGGTATTCAGAAGAGCTTCTCTGAATTCACAACACATCAAACGTTTCTCATTTGGTACTAAGGAGACTTTAGTATGCCAAGAAACTATCCCCCACACCATCACATCAACCTGAACCATTGATACAAGGCAGGACAGAGTCGTGCTGTTATGTTTTATGTTGTTTGTGCCAAATTCTGATCGTCTGAAACGGCTCGTTTCCAAACTTGTGACTCATCAGACCAGGCAACATTTTTTTAACTTTCTGTTGACCAATTTTGGAAATCCTATTCAAATTGTAGTTTCCTGTTTTTAGCTGCCAGTAGTGGCACTTGTGTAATCTCCTGCTTAAAGGTTTGATGTGTTCAGAGACGCTCTTGTGCATATCTTTTTTGTAAGGAGTGTAGTGGCTATATTAATTTGTTAGAGTTCTCTTTCTCTTATATTTAAAATAGCCACACTGCTGACGGACAAGCGACAGTTTTTACGCGTTGGTTGGTTTGCAACGATGAGTAAAACCATCGTGTGGCTCAGCCGTTTAGTTTATTTTCCACATAAACCTTTTACAATAAAGCACAAGATCCTGTTGACATTTTTCAAAATAAACTGAAATAATAACAATATACATTATTTTCAAACATCAAATTTTAGAATGTGCATGAAGCAAGTTACCTCAAATAAGAACATGAAGTAACTATAAATGGCACTTACAAGGAGTGATTATTTAGGTACTGTTACTGTGAGTTACTGTTGCCTTCCATCCACTCAGCTTGGTCATTATCCTCTAACCACTGACAAGACTTTTTCCACACAGAAAACTTCTGCTCACTGGAAATTTTCTCTCTTTTTTTGGATAATTCTCTGTAAATCTTAGAGATTTTGTGGGGAAATCCCAGCAGATCTGCAGATACTCTGACCAGCTTGTCTGGCAATAACGACCATGTTCAAAGTCCCTTAAATCACTTTTTCCCCCATTCTGATGCTCAGCTTGAACTTCAGCAGCTATTCTTGAGCACATCTACATTCCCAAATGCATTAGGATGCTGTCACATGATTGGCTGATTACATATCTGTGTTAACAGGCATTCAGGCATACCTAATGAAGTGGTTGATTTATCTATATTTATCTATATATTGTCTTTCCTCATCTAAGAGAATTTCTTTTAAAATAAATTTATATTTTAAATATAATTAATTTTGTATTTTGCATATTTTCTAGGGGACAAAGGTGACAGAGGAAACAGTGGGCCAAGTGGGCCACTAGGCATTCCAGGAAAACCAGGACCAAAAGGTATAAAAATCTCATGGCTATATTTTTCATTGTTACCTGACTTCATTTATTTTTACACAGTTTTCCTTACCTTACAGGTGATGTTGGCTACAAAGGGGAAAAGGGTGAAGTTGGACTGCAAGGTCTCAAAGGAGAAAAAGGGCAGAAAGGAGAACCTGGCAAGAATGGGACTGCAGGTGAGAAAGGAGAACCTGGAAAAGAGGGGCCAGCTGGGCCTCCAGGAGTGGCTACAGTACAAGGACCAAAAGGAGATAAGGGGGATAGAGGGGAGTGTGCCTCATATGGAGAGAAAGGACACAAAGGTGAACCAGGTGAACCTGGAGCTCCTGGAATCCCAGGAGCGATGGGAATTCCAGGACAGAATGGCAAGCATGGCTCCCCAGGCCCTATAGGTGTCCGGGGGGATCCGGGAGCTCCTGGACCACAAGGAGAACCAGGGGTGAGGGGGCTAGAAGGACCACAAGGTATAAGAGGGATTCCAGGACCGAGAGGGGAAAGAGGTTACCCTGGGATGAGAGGTGAGCGGGGTTTTCGTGGATTCAAAGGTGCTAAGGGTTCTGGATCAGGGGTTCCCCAGAAACACTCTGCCTTCAGCGTAGGTATCTCTCCGAGAAAGTCTTTCCCTCCTTCAGGCTTCCCGATCCGCTTCGACAAAGTCTTCTACAATGAAGAGAACCACTTCAACATAACTTCCAACAGCTTTACATGTGTCTACCCTGGAGTTTATGTCTTCTCCTTCCACATCACCGTGCGCAATCAGCCGCTGCGAGCCACGCTGGTGGTGAACGGGTCACGGAGAGTGAGGACACGGGATTCTCTGTACGGTCAAGACATCGACCAGGCCTCCACTCTGGTGGTGCTGCGGTTGGCTGCAGGCGATCAGGTGTGGATGGAGACGCTCAGAGACTGGAATGGAGCGTATGCCAGCAGTGAGGACGACAGCATCTTCTCTGGATTTCTGCTTTACTCAGACAAGCCGTGATGCACACTTTGTGTTTACTATCACAAAGTCTGAATACTGGTGGTGCTAGTGTACATGCTGGTCTGCACGTCTTCTATTATTGCCTAGCCTCTTCTTAAGAAGGGATAGTACTCGCCACACATTAATGCTGCTGCAGAGTAGTGCTCCAAAGTTTTGATTGACACCACCCTAATTAAATATAATGGTTAAATACAGTCCAATTCACAAAACACAGTGAGTAAAGCATCCCAAGAAATACCCCTGAGGTAATTATTGGAAGATGGCGTTCACAAGTAGTAAAAGATCATAAACTAATCTCCTGTTATCCAGACAGAAGAAAGTTTTTTTTTTAAATGATAAAAGTGTAAAAGTTCAATATTTAGCATAAAAATGTATAATTTATCCAACATTTTTGTGCACATGCAGTGCCTCCTTATGTTAAAGCATCCTAATTAAAAGTAGCAGCAGTAAGTGAGAGATCGTGCAGAAGTTTATTATTCAGCTACCAACGCAAAAGATAAAGCACAAAAATATGATCAGTGCTGTTTATCTATTTGTCAGCAAGATTACTGTGTTCCTCTACTGGTTCCTTCAGTTAACCTTCAAGTCAATGCCCTGACCCAGTGTCACCCTTGCCTCATTTGCATGAAATGAAAAAGCTCCTTCCTTTTGGGTCCCACTTTTTTCTCACGATTTAACTGCTGCTTCCTTTTTAGTTGTTTTCACCTATAATGACCTAAGTTGTGTGAACATGCATGCAAAAAGTGTTAAATAGAAAAGACAAATGTGTTCAAAATAGTCACCACTGATAGCTGCATCATTAATCTTAATGTAAATCTGTCAAAAAATGACTGCACCCCTGTGTCTTATGAAACCAGTGATTGTAATATATAAGAAGTCCTGCTCAAATATGGAGCAGTAAAAAGAAATTGTGTTTACAGAAAATAAAATCCAGCAGTACATAACATTTTGTGAAATGCTTTATTTGACTTTAACATGTATGTGTTAGATATCTCCAACAATTCTGGTACAGCGCTTGATATTTGTTAACTGGAGATATCAGAATTTCAGGTGCAGGACCTCATATATGAGATTTCTAGTTGTACAAAGTACAAATACAAAAGATGAAAAATTGCACAGTTAAATACAGAAGTGTGACAATGACCCAGCGTGATTAGTAGAGAGATTGTGTGTAATGTATGCTAAGTTATCAAAGAGAATCTGCAGAGTCCCCAGACATGTCATCGGATTCCTCAAATGGATTTGCCTGATCTTGAGTTGTAGCTGAGTTAAAAACCTGGTCTGTAGTCAGCAAAGTGGTTGGGACTGCTTGTGAAGTCAGTGGAGGCGCTTGTGATGGTGTGCTCTTTACTGGAGTGAACTGGATCGGCTGGTGAGAGGAGAGGTTAGGGGAGGTTGGTAGTGAAGCAGCAGCAGGTGGGAAGTCATCGGTGGCTGAAGCAAGGCGAAATACTGTTAGACACAAAGTATCACATTTTTAGCAATCCATTAGGAACTTTGGGGCTTATCGGTGTAGAACAAATGCTGGGGTAAATTAAAATTTAAATACCTCTTATTTGTCCAAAGTTTTTGG